CAACGAGGTATGACCGACGTGGTTATGCCTAGGGTCCCTATATACAGAGAGTTGCGCCATGACGAGTCGGAAAACTATCGGTCACGTGGTCGCTGGACGACATGTTGTTTCCAAATAGATACGCACGGCTATGGCCGTAAGAAAGTGTACAATTAAATTATCATATGGCGCGAACAATTTGAGTTACATTTCTAGAAATCTAGATACACATAGACACATGTCTTAGCTATAATCTCTGTAAATTTTGAGTTTATTGAAGCACGATTAGTCTAATTAATTACTACGGAATATTGTACAGCGTATCCATACAGCGCTGTACTTAAGCGGCAGCGGTGTGAATCCATTTGGAAACAACATGGCGTCAAATCCTGAGTTGGCGCAACTCTCTGTATACAGGGACCCTAGTTTTAAGTCCTCACCTACTACTACTACTACTACTACTACTACATATACTATTATACAACTACTATTACTACATATACTATTATACAACTACTACTACATGCAGCTTACGGCCATGTATGCAGCACAACCAGCACTCCTTGTCTTTGCTTTTGAATCGACAAGTCTACCGCTGATACCAAAGTCACACAACTTCACCTGTAATAAACAAGTAGCAATAAAATGTTTGTTAGGCAAACTGCATTCCATATACACATTTTAAAATTATGTGATTTACAGAATTCATAATCTATAGTCTTTGACCCTTTACTGGGGGAAATTATTACACTAATCTTATGTAAATCACAGTCCCATTGGAACGGCTTGAGGCAAGATTGGGGACGGAAGCCATATTACCGTTCCATTCCAATCGAGAAGAATATTAGAGGGCTTTACATCTCGATGTATCACCCCGTGTGTTTCTTTCAAGTAGTGTAGTGCCTTTACAATCTGCAAAAATAATGTCAGCCCATGTCAGCCCCTTCTTCTATTCCACATTCTGGCACAAAAATGGATATTTTTTACTGCAAATATTTGTTCCTACTGGTGAAAAACCGTTTTTATCTGGAACCAGAATTATGCGGGCTCGGATAACCAATACATGGCATTTTATATAGGGACATTATTGGTTGTTTTAGTAATCTTATATAGTTAAAATTGGTTACCCACCGCTACAGCCATCTTTCCAAGAATCTTTTCTGGGATAGGTGCTTTTAATCGCTTCATGAGTTTATCGAGGCATGTAGCCATCAATTCCATGCATATCCATACATCACTCTGGAAAACAGAATAAAAGGGATATCGAATCATAATAAGGATAGCCTTTTTCTAATGAAACGCATCATTGAAGATACTTAGAATTGCACCGAAATGCTTAAATTTTTTTCATGATTTAGAATTACAATTATATTGGCAGTGGTTTTGCAAAGATTGTTCCTTCTGCATATGAAAAACGTTACAAACTCATGGTGGCATATCTCTGGTTCCGTTTGACAAAGCATTACCAGAATGTTAATTTCAATCCTCGATAAAAGAAATCAATTGCAGTGAAATATTATTTTGTAAACTCATCACTTACATCTGTCACAAACACTCCGACACATTGGACAATGTATGGTGAATCGTGACTTTTCAGAACTACTTCTAAATCCATGATTATTCTCTTGTTTTCCTCTTTGTTCCCCGACCTTCGCATTTGCTGTAAGATTATACATATATATACCTATAATATACCTATCAGGTAGCAATCATAAAGGTGATAAATACTTTTCAATCAAACATACATTAAACAAAAATGCCAAAACAGAGTATTGTACTTAAACTGACATTTAACACACAATGTCACGTCACACCATCTCAGACGAGGTAATATGGAGAAAGATCATTAAGGATTATAATGGTATACCTAACAAGGAAAGCCTACACCCCTTCCCGTTTCCCCACCTGTGACTACAGGCCTGCCACAATGGTGCTTACTTTGACAGCTATGACCTGAGTGCTAGGTTTATGCCGCATCTTCACCACATGTCCACACGTTCCATTACCCAACTCTCCTAGCAGTTCTAAGTCGGCGATGTCCGCTTTATATTTCTAAAAACACACGTCGATAACGAATCTGAATAACCTTCTACATATGTACACATTTCAAATCAAGTTCACTGCCACTAATTGTATTTCCATTTCTACAGTAAAAGTGGTGAGCCACAAACTTTGCATTCTTTGAATTTTATTTTTTAAAAGACAAAACATGATGACAAAGGATAGATAAGAAAAATGACCTGATTTCCATTGCAGGTTAAAATTCCGGTCTGCTCCATAATTTCTTTAAGTTTTCTATCGATCTCCGCACTACAAAAAAAATAGGATCGCTATAAATACCTTGAAACCGATCAAACATGGCACTAACATATCATTACGTGCTGCTGCTTGCATCACACAACAAACTCTGCCCTGTACCAAATTTAAGCAAAAAATATGTGAATTGTGTTTGTTTTTCATCATAAATCTGTTGGCTATGTGTTAAAACATTAAAGGAATAATAAAGAGATGCAAAATACATGCAAATTATTTACCACCTGAAACTGTGACAAGCACATGTGCACATGAACAACAAGAGTAATAAAATAGCATCCCCTTTCAAATTCACTGGCCAGGTACTGGCTGTACTAGAGCTGTATTCGACACTCACGTAGTGTGGTGGTACGTACCTGTCAGGTGGCTTATGTATATTGTGAATCGGACCAGGTAGTCCCTGAGGCCGTGGTTGCCGACCCATGCTGGTATTGAGAGTAGGACTCGGAGCAGAACTTGACCGACCGTATGGCTGCTGAAGCGATAACGCTACAAAACAGATGACATTAATTTATTAAACGATTGCTGTTCAGACACTTGAAGCCATATATGGCCATGAGCATGAGGTATTGTCAATAATAAGGTAATTTCTGCTTAGAACTGCATTTACCCCACAGTGGTGGGAGTCAAGAAAAGAAGTAAGTGGGCAAGATATGAGATATCCGTAAGAGTGTTACTGGGGACACACAACAGCGCGACACAATATAATCACACAGAAACACAGAACAAGTGTGCCCCGCATCACTCTGTAGCCTGCAATTTCCGTCTTGCGCATCACCTCGGCAAACCAGTGCGCGGCATCGACGGTGGCCATCTCATAGTGTTTCACGAAGGGATGCTGCAGTAGCTGCTTGTACTTGGGCCGCTTCCGGTAGTCTTTCGTGAGGCTGGAACGGTGTGGAGAGGGGGGAAAATGTCGTGCAAAGCGAAAAATATGCCGTCGAATGACAATGACATGTCGATAGATGTTGGATCAACTTATCTGTGACAGGTCTTGTGTGTCACTAAAGCTGAGTTTATGCTACCGACTTTGTGTTGGCGAATTGGTGAATTACACAAACTTCGCAACTATACAACCGACAATCGGCAGTGTAAACGCAAAAATTGCGCAATCTACCGATCAATAGCAACTAGCTGGGAGATTAGAACATGTTCTATTTTCGCCAACTCTGAGTTGGGAAGTTGGCCCAATTTGCCAATTCGCCAACATAAAGTCAGTAGTGTAAACCCAGCTTAACTTTGTGTAATCAGTGCTACACTTTAGACATGTTGAGACAAAGTTGAGATCGTAAATTATGTTGAATCATTGTATTTTATTGTATTTCTGGCTTCAATTCTTTGATAATATTATTACGCCATTAATCATTTAATTATTTAATCGTTAACCACGAGACTACTATTGCAATAACGCGCAGAAATTGCACACCGCAATCTAGCCAACGTGTCACAAAACCTACCAGCTTTGTACAAACGAGTGGAAGTTGATTGAGAAGCCGGCGTTCTTGGGTAGCAGTGGCGGAGCCTCCTGCAGCACCTTTGTTAGCACTTCAAAGTCATTCCTGCAGTCGCCATATGGAAACTCTCCCGTCGCTAGCTCCACCTATCCGCAACAGGGGAGAGAAATCCACGTGTTGCAGCGGGGGAAAGTCATCTCACGACTTTACACTACTTTACTCCAAGTTTCACAGGAAAGGGGGGTTATTTGCGAGTAGACTACAGTGTATGTTGAAGCAGCACCCATCACTGTATTATATAATTTTAATATAATATAATAATAAGATGCCAACACTTTTCTGAGCAAACTGTAGTGAGGATGTCTGAAATGTGTAGTCCGAGGGTCACGCAGTGACCCGAGTATGCTAGGGGGGTTCGAGGCATGCGGCATGCCCCCCCCCCAGAATATTTTTGATTCCGAGATGCAATTTCCTGCATTCTGAGACCCAAAATGACAAGTTCACACTGATATTTGCTGCTAAATACATGTAGTTACTTTCAATCATGTTATATCAATGTAACACTGAAACAAAACACTTGAAATAATTATCATAAAAAAGATTTTTTTTCGATCGTAATAAAAATCGTAATTGTCTGCAAACTGGTCATAGTGGTCAAAATGCAAACGAAATTCGCATAAAATACGAATAAATCGTAGTGGTTGGCCTCTGAATAATGAATTATTATATATAATTAATAATTAATATAATATAATATTATATATTAATGCCGATTTATTAGTCATACTGCAATGTTTACAAGACGCCAAGTATGCTTTTAGTTACAGTGCAGCGAATATTTTACCACACTTCAGCATACCAGTGAAATTCCTAAGCTCCATACGTCGGCTCTGATGTCGTAATCTGGTTTCGTTGGATCGGGAGGATCTATTCTTTCAGGCTGAAAAATAACATTCATTGGTAAACCAATATTAATAACCTGAACGTTTGCACAATTTTTTTAAAATTATATTTTATTATAATGCAGAATACAGGAAAAATTTCATTAATTTAGTGGAGTAACCTGCAACTAACATCTTTAACTAATGGACCGAAAAGGTTTAGCCGTCACTCAACGAACATTAACATACTGTGCGCAGTATAAAACATTAACATACTGTGCAGCATAAAACATTAACATACTGTGCAGTATAAAACATTAACATACTGTGCAGCATAAAACATTAACATACTGTGCAGCATAAAACATTAACATACTGTGC